GCCTAAAATAACATCATTGAGATATCAAGCATTCTTAGAATAGGCTGTGGCATCATTTAAGAATGAAAATGTCACGTGAGATCATAGACTTGAACCTGGCATTTTATTATATTATTTTGAACCTCTACCTTTTTTTTTTTTCTAGAAAGGGCCATCTAATTTCCATCTTGGGAAAATTTCCCTCCATTTCCTATATACAAGAGATAAGAGGCCTTTTCTCTGTCCTAAAGGTCTAGAACCCGACTGACCCAGCTCAGGAAATACGGAGCATAGCAGAGCTGCCTGGGAGACTGACAGGTAGTTGTGTGCAATTTGCGAAGCTCCATTACTATCCAGGGCCTGTCTTCTCAGGGGCTCTTCCTATAGGTAATGCTCGAGATGCTCTTGGAGGGAGGAATTAGGTCCCTGGGATGTGAGGGGAGGGTAGTCACCCAAGCCCTTTGTGAAAGATGCTATTGGCATTCTGTGCATGGTCTGCACTGCCCAATGCCAGATCACAGCTGAGTCCTATAAAAGGTGGACGCTCTAAAAGTGCCCCAGTCCACCTGCCTCCTTCGTGATCTGTTCCTGTGCCTGAACCAGGTAGACTGCATCTCAAGGACCAGGAGGGACTCTTGGTACTGGCGGCTGGTAACAGAGGGAAGTCCTGGGTAGAGGCTGAGGACAATCATGACAAAGACAAGGGAAAAAAAAAAAAAGATTTGGATGGGAGGGTTTTGCTGGAAGTTAGGGAAAGAGAGATTGGTATCTTTTTTGAAGTTGCAAGAAATCCATTCAGAGTTATGGAATTCCCTAGGTTGGTTGAAACGTTTTGCATGATTCTTGGTAACTGATGATAGCAGATTGAGTTTTAAAAATATGATAATCATAAGGATGAAACCTTGTGAATTCACAGTTCAGCTTTAAATGTAAGGGAGTTATATCGGGTTAGCTGGACTTAAAATTTCTGTATTGTCTTTCAGCTTCATTCAGCTCCTGCTAAGATGTCCTGCCAGCAGAGTCAGAAACAGTGCCAGCCCCCACCCAAGTGCCCCCCCAAGTGTCCTCCCAAAGCCCCCCCCAAATGCCCATCCCCCTGTCCACCTTCAGTCTCCTGTTGCAGCTCTGGAGGTGGGGGCTGCTGCAGCTCTGGGGGAGGGGGTTGCTGCAGCTCTGGGGGTGGAGGCTGCTGCCTGAGCCACCACAGGCCTCGCCGATCTCTTCGACACCGACACCAGAGCTCCAACTGCTGTGGCAGTGGCAGTGGGAGCGGCAATGGGAGTGGCAAGAGGTCTGGAGGCTCCAGCTGTGGCTCTGGGGGCTCCAGCTGTGGTTCTGGGGGCTCCAGCTGTGGCTCTGGGGGCTCTGGTTGCTGCTCTGGGGGCTCCAGCTGCTGCTCTGGGGGCTCTGGCTGCTGACCTGGGCCATGAGGAACACTGAGGAGCAGCCCTGGAGGAGCAAAAGTGCTGAAGACCTGCGGGCTGAGCCTTCCCTCTGTTGCCAGGGGGTAGGCTTCCCAACAGCTTTGAGTTTCCCCAACTTCCCGCCTGTTCAATGCCCTGTGAGGCCTAGAGGTTTAACCTCTGTTGTTCACTGGCCTGATTCACCCCCTTGGACACAGCTCTTTGGAGGACTTGGTGCTGGAGTTCAGAGAAGCTGTCTTCTCTATAACAATAAAGCTTTTTAAACCCGAAGTCACTGTCCCCTGATTGTTTTGATACTCTCTCCCCCTCCTCACGCCTTGCGTCAAGCCCTTCTCTCTTCCCTTCTATCAAATGCGAGAGAACACTTCAAACATCACTTGGGAGGCAGATTTTGGACCTGAAGGGACTTAGACCCCTGGGAAACAGTGTTCTCTTTCATGCTCTGAATGCTGGAACTTGAGCTGAGCTTGGAGGAAGGATTGTGTCCAAGACCAGGACCCTGACTCAAGCTTCGCATGAGCAGAGTTGGGACTGGGTTTTCAGAGAGGAGCATGGCGGTGTCCAGGAAGGTCACAGAGATGAGATCTCTGGCAGGGTTTCCTTCAACCATGGTGAGAGTGTGCAGATGACTCTCTCCTAGTTAGGGGAGATCAGATCACTAGAGGGCTCATTCTGGGCTCCCATGAATGGACACCCTTTGCTTTTGTAATTATTGTAAACTTCTAGGTGCTTCGCTCAACTGAAAAGAGAGGAGAACTGGAGGGGGTTAGTTTCTGGAGATGGGCATGTTTAGGAGGAGGGGATGACATGCCTGAACCCATTTTCCCTGAATCCTGAAAGCCTGAGTTTAGGTCTTAGTATAGAACCAAGAAAGTTGTCTCCCCAAACTGCCTCCCTGTGGTTAGTGTGTGGGAAGTTAGGTGGGGGGTGGAGAGTGGGAGCAGGGGACTTTGGTCCCTGTGTTGGGTTTCTATTTCCTTTAGGAATAGGCTGATTCCTCCAGGACAGTCTCAAAAGATTACAACAGAAACGACAATTATGAATCAGTCTTTTACACAGCAATGCTATTAGGCCTTTCTTTGATAAGAGTTGACAGTGAGGCATGGAGTGAGTGACACTGAGGCTGTCGTTGTCCACACAGTGAGCACCTGCCTGCCCAAATCACCTCCAGAGCTCCTGCCTCCACCTTGTCACGTCATTACTTCCTTTTCTAATATTGACCTCATCTCTAGGTGCACACAACCTGTTAATCAGGCTCTAAAGGCACTTTAATGAAACTGGTATTTTTGTGACTTAACTTTTCTTGTCTGTTCCCTCATGCCACTCCCAGCTCAGTTATACCCAAAGCTGGTCTTGCCATCAAGTTTTGCATTTTCCCTCTTGGATTTCTCTTATACTTCACATTCAAGGTCATGGGCAATTGTGTTCATTAAGAAGCATTTCTGTAGCAAGCTGACCTTCAAAGTCTCCCTCAATTCTTAAAAGTTCCTTATTCTAAAAACACCATTTTTTTCATAGACACTTTGGACTTGGGAGTCTCTCTTTTCTTTCTTTTTTTTTTTTTAAGATTTATTTATTCATGCATACAAAAACCGGGGTATAGGCCAGATATGCAGGAGGGCGAGAGGACCCACCAGAGACAGAGCGGGGAGCAGAACAGGCAGATGGACCGAAAGCACTGTTGAGGGGAGCAGCGGGCGAGACAGGAGAGGTCTGCTGCACCATGTGGCCAGCTCCCTGGCCAGCCGGGATGGAACATGCGCTGCAGAGGCTGCGGACAGCTTCACAGCACTGCACTCAACTGCCTGTACCACCAGGGAGGCCCCTTTCTCTTTCTTTTTCCTCTCTACTTTTCCAACTCTTCCCTTCCTCCTTTCTTTCTTCCTCTTTCTCTCCCTACTCACCCCTTCCACCCATTTGGCAGTGGCCCTAGGGACAACCTGTCTTCCAAGGGGGACTGGGTGGGGTAATGAGCAGACCAGCCTGGCATTTTGCAATTGAACCCCATGTCCTGCATGGTCTCCTCCCAGCCCCACCAGGGTATAGAGGGACATGGTGACCTAACTAATCTGTTTCTTGTCTCAATGGCTCCATAACTGGGTTTGCTGGGTTTTTCTTCCCATCTCCAATGACAGAAATCACACTGGAATTCCTACAAGTGCAGCCAGCCACCATCTTCATTCACCCCCATCCTGAAACATCTGGATGAGACCCAGCAGGCTTTCCACACAGCCTGTGGTCTGCCCTTGGGAGTCAAGGACCAAGAGCCAGAGAGATGCAAACCAGGATAAGTAAGAGAACCAGTAGATGACTCTACAGAATGCATGTGCGAGCAGGGGAAGGGTGTGTGTGTGTGTGTGTGTGTGTACTTTGTAGAAAGGGACAAAGAGAACAGGTCCCAAGAAGGGGGCCCAGCCCTCCCCTCACACAGTGCCTTCTTTTGGAACATACGTAGCCTCCTAGCTATGAACAGTGTCCTGTTTGGAAAGTAAACACACCACAACAATCCTGGCACCTCTCTAGAGTGACTTGAATACCCACGTGCACCACCTACGGTGCTACCTGAGTGATGAATGGCTCTGGGATGTGAGTGTCAGCTGAGCCAGTGTGTTGGGAAACAGGCCCCTCCCAAGTACTAGTGTGAGGAAGAATCTTATAAAAGGTTCTCTGGCTGGTCACTACTCAGTCCACTGCCTTGCAGGTAGCCCGTTGCAGTTGAAGCACTGAGTGAGTCTTCTAGAGGAGCCAGTGTCTGGTAAGTCTCCAAGCAGGGCCTGGATGGGGTTGGGAAGAGTTGAAGTGAAGGGAGGAGAGGGCAGTACACAGTCAGGTGGATGGGGTGTGGGGTGTGGGGAGCCCTGGAAAGGGCCCATGTTTCAAGTGAACCCATTTCTCCTGATACTGATGAGGTGGTGGAGGCCCATGGGAGAGATGACCTGTGAGGTTACGTGGCAAGTCCACGGCACAGATGCAAGTGGAACCAGTTCTCTGACTCGCGGGGCTCGGATGCATTTCTGTCTTCTGATCACTCTTTTCTCATGGTTGTAGGGAATGAAAGGCCTAGGGAGAGAAAGACCAGAACAAGCACTGGTGCTTGTGGATTCTTTAGACCCAGGCAGCAGGGATGCCTGTGTGATTTGGGGCTTTCTAAAATACTGAGGGGCTCTTTATACAGTGCTAATAACTATGCCAGCATCACCTGTAGCTCTGGGGACACAGTGAAATGGGGGAGGGGGAAAGCCAGCAGAAGATTTTGAACTGAATCATGGCATCAGTTGCCACCACATTCTCATTTGCCACTGCCCAGTACTGGGTGTCCTGATCCTAGTCAGAGGGAAAACTGGTTCTTTGCTGAGACAGTTCCCCACCCCCCCCATGCCTCTTCAACTCATTGGAAACACCTCTTCGGGGTTTTTTTATTTGCTTCCCTTCACCTGGGAAGCAGACGCTGTTTTATGTTGTTCTCTTTTTCCTTCCTGGCACTAAACCAGATTCGCTTGCTCACAAATTCAAACGTCAAAAGCTCCAAGCCCCATTGTCAGAAAGAAAAAAGTCCGCTTGAGTGTGACAGGCTGCCTTTCTTCCAGGTTCTCCGCAATGTCCTCCCAGCAGAGCATGGCTTCAGCCAAGGGCTTTTCGAAGGGGTCTTCCCAGGGCTCGGGGTCGTGCCCCGCCCCAGCGCCCACCCCGGCGCCCTCCTCGTCCTCCTGCTGCAGGGGCTGCTGCGGCTCCAGCTCCGGCTGCTGCAGCGGCGGCTGCTGCGGCTCCAGCTCCACCGGCTGCTGCTGCTTCCCTCGGAGGCGCCGCCGGCAGCGCAGTGGGTGCTGCTCCTGCTGCGGGGGCGGCAGCCAGAGGTCGCAGAGCACCAGCAACACCGGCTGCTGCGGCTGCTGAGTGTCCCCCAGGGCCCCAGCGCTGCCGGTCCTGCCTGCCCGCCCACCTCGTGTCTCCACCCTGCATGTCTATGCTCCCAGGCCTCTTGGCCCTCCGCATGCGCCCCCTCCTGCTGCAAAACTACTAGCGCTCGGATGTTCAGAAACCCACTCTGTTCTCAGCTCCAGGAAAATCCCTGACCTCCCTGTGAGATTCCTCCTGGGGAACCCAAGACCCATGGTGGGACGTTGGATCCTACTGTGCAGGGGCTTGCACACAGTAGGTGCTAAAAAATGCCTACTGCTTTGATTGTTCTGTGAAGATGTCATAATAAAGCTTCTACCTCCAGAGAACATCCTCTTTCCTACTGGTTCTTTCATTCGTGTCTTTAGTATCGTGTCCTGCTACCCCAGCCACTACCTTTCTCTCTGCTCCCATAGCAAGGCTTGGTATGATTGTAAATGGCAGAAAAGGAAAATTCATGCCTGATTCTCTGGTATTTACTTGAGATACCAGAAGTCACATATGGAGCCAGGCAGTGTCAGGGACTTAACCTGACATGGTTCATCTCATTTAATTCAGTGACTCAGTGAGGCAGGTACTGTATTGCCCCATTTTACAGAAGAGAAACCGAGGCCAAGCAATTTGCTAAAGTCACCCAGCTGGTACCTGATGGACAAGACTGGATGCTTGACTCCAAGGCTAAGCTCTTAAATGATCTACTTGGGACCTCAGAATCTCCTAGAACTTTCCTCCTGATGCACTGCCCATGAAGCCCAGTTTTGGATCTGCAGCTCTTGGGGTTTTGAAATCAGGAGAGCTGACACTTGCTCAGTAGAGGATCGCTGACCCACTCACTGCTTGCCTTGCTGGCTGAGGAAGCTTTTCCAGCTGGACATTGCAGGAGGCTGGGCCCCCTCTCTCTTCCAGACCTCATCAGTGCAGCGGAATGAGCAGGAGCCAGGGCTTCCAGGGATCTGCAGGGTGAGAGGTGCCATGCCCAGCAATGCAGGATGTCATTCTCTGTAGGTGGTGGTGGCGGGAGGGGGGCCATCTCTAGTAGGTCAGAAACCCATGCCTGCAGGTACAGATCTCATCCACTCATTTCAGGAAAGAGAAAACAGGAATAATTTTCATTGCCATGGTGTCCACTGGGTTCAAAAGCAAAGAGGCAATAATAGCGGTGATAATAATAGCAGCCACATCTTCCCTTTATTGGGCACTTACTTTTTTCCAGGCACCAGGCTAAGAATTTTACAGTTATTATCCCATTTAAGCCTCACAACAGTCTCAAAATAGACACATGGATTTCCAAATATAGATATATTTGAGAACACTGGGCTTCAGGGAGTTTCACTGACTTGGCTAAAGTTATAGTTAGTGAATGTCGAAGGCCCCCAGGTGGGGAGGGAGGGAGATGAGATTCAAACTGGGGTCTGCTGGACTCCAAGGCCAAGTCCTCAGCCTTAGAAATCACAGCATCCAGGGGCAGGGGCACTTGGTCTTGGCAGACACACCCAGGCTCTTAGAAAATTGGAGCTTGGCTTCTTGGCTGCTGCTTCATCAATGACCCAACGTCCGGCAGGCTTTGTCATGCCATCCACCCAGCAAAAGGAATTTGCTCAGAGGCGAGGTCAGAAATGCACCATTGATTCATCCAGGGTGTTTAAAGCTGAGGCCGAATGACCCTGCCAGGGAGTTTTTGAAGGGCATTCCAGCCTTGGGTGGGAGGGGCCCTACTTCCATCTCTGGAATACTGCGACTCTAGTGGGAGGTGATATGTGGATGTAAACACATGAAGTCACCTGTGGGCCTACCTCTCCCACCAGTGATGTGTGTTGAAACAAACCCAGGGACCTGGTAGGGGCTGAGGTGGGAAGGGAAAATTGCCTGACACAGAAGAGGCAGATGGGGGTGACCCTTAGGCAAGAAGCTGAGGCCTGAGATTTGGGAAAGAAAGGCAGTGACTCACAGAGAGACACAGAGTAACGCCCTTGAGCGGGAGGCACACTGATAGCTATCAAATGACCATGGGGATGGCAGTACCACCAGCTCACGCCCCTGGCCCCAAGCTGGCCACCTCAGGGATAATCTGATCAGAGAGATTTGGACATTCTAAGGATATAGTTTTGATATAGAAACCATGCTATTTCGCATGGGCCATGCTATTTTGCATGCTCTCTACTCATGGCCTCATAGTCTTCTGATTTCAGCAGCAGCAGCTGCTGCACAGCAGGTAGAGCTTCTGGGTGGCACAGGCATGCCCCCTGAGCTGGAAGCAGTACTCTTCAGAAAGCTGTGCCTGAGGGGAATTTGGCAACATGAACCCAGTATACTGTGACAGGCAAAATCAGGTTTCTCGTTATTCTTAAATAATAACACAGTATTGTTAGCAAGACAGTGACAGCATTATTGGATGTATTTTACTCCTGATGGCTCTTGTTTCAGCTTCAACTGTGTTATTACAGTGGCTGTTACAACAAATGTATTTATTTAAAACTTAGAGTTTATGAGGTGCTTTCACATATCCCTTTCACAATTCTGTAAGATAAGTATCATCTCTGTTTAACAGGTCTGGAAAAGGTTGAGAGTTTAGGTGACCACCTGCAGCTATGCGCTAACAGTGGCAATCTTTGACTTGACCTGGCCTTGACTTTCAACAGGGCCAAGAGACACCTCTTCTTAATCTATGTGCTGAGATAATTGAATGATGTGGCCCAACTGATTATTTAGGGACTGTGCTATATTTATCATTTTATTCATAGCATCTAGAACACTGCCAGGTACATATTAGGGGTCAATAAGTAAGTGAATGTTTTTCAGTGAATCACACATAAAATACGGTGTTAAGTAATTCTAGGAAGTGCACAAAAAGTATGGTTTGACCTCAAGGAGTTTATGGTCTGATTTGAGAATTCTGGGAAGTAACCAGACAAGGATAAATGATAATATCACAGACAAGAAATTATATCACATAATACATACAGTAAATACAAACACACATAAATACTGGAGCATCATGATCAAAACATGGCATGGGCATGTCTATGGGGGTCTCAATGGAAATGGGGTTTATTACAGGATTCAAATGAAGGCAAACGATGTGGGCTGGGTTGTTCACAAGGCTTCATGGGAGGGAGGATGTGAGCTGGGTCTGAAGGATGGAGACATCTGGGCGAGGCATAGATTAATTTGTTCTTGCATTCACTCAAGTTTATGGACACTGTTGTTTGTGGTGCTGGAACGGGATGGGGAATGAGACCAAGATCCTGTCAACATGGTCCTCGCCTTCTGGGACAGAGGTAGACAAGTAAGTGAACAAGAAAGTCAAATAAAATTTCATATATAAAAAAGTGCTATGTTAAAAAGAAAGATGATGAAGTGTAGATATGAATGAAGGTGTAAATTGGGGATTTTAGAAAGGATTAAGGAAGGCCTCTCTAAGGGAAGTTCTCTCAGCAGAAATGGTTGGAAGCATCACCCAGAGCAGGAAATCAGATGGTTGGGTATTCCAGCCTTATTGGCCATCACAAGTCACAGGTGTTTAAGAAGTGCTCATAATTACACAGGCCCAATAGGGGCTCTCACTACTAGGAAGTAGCTTGGAATTCTAGTTGTTTGGCATACAGATTTGATAGTGAGACTGCTCATATATGAGCTGAGCATTATTTCCCTCAATTGTCACAAATCCCCCACAAGGCAGTTTTTGATAAGAAAACTAAGCTGTGGAGTTCTTAGGCAGCCAGCTCAAGGTTGCATGGCTCGTGATTGGCAGAACAGGGATTTGAACTGGAAGTGTCTGACTCTAAGACCAATGCTCTGGACACCGAGCTCTAAGGTGCACTTATGAGAAGGAGGAGAGTAGTTTCAAGTTTGGACAGAGGGGAAAGAGATCTGAAAGTGAGGTGGTGGTGCAGATAGACCATAAGAAGCCAGCTGAGAGGAGCGATGAGGCTAGCTCATGGATGGCATTAAGTAACAAGGAGCTGAAACCTTATCATATTTGTGGAATGTGATGGTAGGAAAATGATTTTGAAAGTACTCAAGAAAGACAGAGTTTGGTCTATTGCATATCTACAGTATTAATACCTTCCTGACATGACTTAAAAGTGGTGAGGCACTGGGCCTCCCTGGTGGTACAAGGGGTTAAGTACCACTCTATGAAGCAGTCCACAGCCTCTGCAGCACGAGTTCGATCCCCAGCCAGGGAGCTACCCACATGGAACAACAGACCTCTCCCGTCTCGCCCGCTGCTCCCCTCAGTAGTGTATTTCAGTCAATCTGCCTGTTCTGTTCCCCACTCTGTCTCTGGTGAACCCTCTCACATCCGGCATCTCTGGCTTGTACCCCAGCTCTTGTATGCATAAATAAATAAATCTTTTTTAAAAAAGTAGTGAGGCAGCAATGATTAGGATACTCTAGAGGAGGGAATGGAGAAAACACAGGACTCTGAATCTCTGTGAGAGGTGCAGTGGCACAGATTTGAAATGAAGATCTGAACTCAGTATACAGCAGTGTGTAAGGAAATGGCAGACATGAAAAGCATCTATCCAAAAAGAAGAAGAGTAGAACTGATTAATGTGTTGGGACTGAGGAAGTAGAGGCAATTGTGGCTCTCTGAGGATTAGTGCCTGTTGATGGGGAAATGATGACACCACTAGCAAAACGAGAAGTCAGGAGAAAGAACTCCTGTGGGGAGGAAGAAGGTGAGTTCAATTTAGGGCACGCTGAGAATGAGGTGCTTGCCAGCCTTGACCAAGATAGCGGATGTGGGGAGGAAACTGCAGATATAGAATCCCTGAATATTGAGATAATACATGCAGTAAGTCATACAGAGGTGAGAGTCAAATCCTAGGGATTAGATGTGGTCCGACCTCTGCAGTAAAATATACTAAGGGAACAAATATGGTCTGTCTTGTTTATTGCAGTAGCCTCAGAATAAAGAACAGAAATTGGGACATAGAAGACCCTCAATGGATATGTGTTGGGTGAATGAGTGAATGAATGAATGAATGGGTAAA